TAGTTGATGTTCCCGTTCCCATGATCATATTATAGTTTGTAGATCACACTTAACGTGTATTCTACACTATGACTCTGGTCGACCACGACCACTCACTTCCGGAGCGAACCTCTTTCGCAGTGCGGTTATGCTCGGGCAGGTTTATATCTGCCTCGGCACGTTGATGGGAGAAAGTTGAGAACTGGCAGAGTGTGAAAAGGCGTTTGATGATCTCATTTAACGGATGACATTTTAAACTATTTTAGACCTTTAAAGAAGAAGATGGCGTTGAATTAGGCCCTCGAGAGCGAATGAAATCCACAAACATGTACGGCAAAGAAAAGAAAGCAAATTACGCAGAGAACTTGAGGAAGCGTATTGATTCCATGTGTAGCTTGGGCGAATACTAGAATCTCTAGGAAATCTCCTTTAGAGAAATTTTGATACCAATGGAACCTCCACGAAATGGAGAAGGTTAAGCGCCTTTGAGAAAATGAAAAGTTGGTGGCGCCTAACCAATGTAGCCTTACATAATGCCATATTCAATGAATCTTGCTAAAATAGCATTTTGTTATTGGTACTCTCACCTTAGCTCTTTGTCTTTATATATAAGTATCTGATGTTCTGGAGCAACATCACTTATTATAGATATGATCCGTTTCAGTTTCAAGACAGTGGCATCTGATGGTACAGTGATTCTTACCTTAATGCACGAAAGTGACTTTGCAGTTTGACAAAGAAGATTTGTAATTTTTAGATTTCCTACATCTTTCAAGCCGGCCATAACACTATGTACGGTGACTTCGATAGGTGCTGCATTAGCATCATCGGATGCCTGTGGCGATGTTGAGGATTCTCCATCTGTAATGTTTGAGTGCGCATTTGCTCACAAGTAGAAGATTTTTGTTACTAACCTCTTTTTGGCTCGGGACTAAGTGACATTTAGTAAACCGCAGCTTATAACAATTCAGAATCAATGGAACCTACTAGAGAAGGAGAAAGAAGAAAACTCATAATGGCTTCTAATGTTTATTCATTTCATATCTTTACTCATCCCATCCGGTCGATCGCAAGGGCAAAATCATCGTTACTTTTTCTTGGTACAAATAAATTTTATGATTTTCAAAGGATCTTGGCACGTTATGGATGCTACCACGTACTGCACGCTTACCTTGTAATCGCTTTGTTCAATATCGACATTTTTACTGTTCAAAAATGTTAGTATAAGCTTGCGATCATGAAAAACATAAATAGAAAGAGTAATTGAACTTTATTTTGCAGCGATACCACTTAAATCTTTTAAATCATATTTTGGCGCAAGGCGAATTTTGGGACATTCAAGATGTCAATTAAGAATAGATTCTCTTGCTTCGAACAAATGCAGAAAATGGGTGGAGCTTAGAGTTAACAGACGGTAAAGCCTGGGAGTTGTGTAAACCCATTCTCACTAAACGAAAATGCTAAACTTGCCCACCGAATCTATTAGACGTATCTATGGTCTGCCTATAAGTGTTTAAAAATTTAGCCTTCCATCCTTGAAAAATTGCATTTCATAATTTTTTGTAGGATAATTCAGCTTTGTTTCTTTACACATGCACACATGTGTGCAAGCTATATACAAATCATGGAAATGACGTAGACATTCTGTACGACTTAGCGCGTACCTATGCAACCTACTATGTAAAAATAAATTTCGAGTTTCCAAGTTATATCTATTT